AAATGATCAGAAAATAAAATAAAACCTTTTTGTAAAAACAATTATTTTCTATATTTTAATATAGGATGAACTATATTCTATGTAAAATAATGTTTGACGCGGAAGCTTATTACGCGTTGACCAATCATATTGCGTAGTTGAAACCTACGCATGCTGCATTTGCTGTAAGCAGCATGCTGATTGGCTGACGATGACGTGGCTGCATTCCTGTGCAAGGCACACATTCCTCTGCAAGGCACTCTTTTCGGAACGAGAAATGGAACATCTTCGTCTAGGGTGATCGTTGAGCCGTAAAAGCTCCTGATTTGTGCTAGTCTCAGCTCAAGCTACGAAACTGCTATTCCAGTTCAAAATCCCATGTTAAAAGTGAACTATTTCCTTTAAGGGACGATTAAGGGATGAAGGATAGGAGGCACATGTCTGGAACGTTCGACTGAGGCTAGATATTGACCCGAGGAATCGATTGCGACCATTATTTTGGCAATCAGACGAAGTCTTGGGGCACTTTTGACGCGCCCCGTCCTTTAAGGGCCGATTAAGGGATGAAGGTTAGGAGGCACATGTCTGGAAACTTCGACTGAGGCTAGATATTGACCCGAGGAATCGATTGCGACCATTATTTTGGCAATCAGACGAAGCCTTGGGGCACTTTTGACGCGCTCCGTCCTTTAAGGGACGATTAAGGGATGAGGGAAGGGAGCTAGGGCAAAATAAATGTCATATTTGTGTTCCACGTCCCCCAATTGACCTGATGACAGTTTTTGGAGCGATTCTGAATCCGACACTATTCGCTGCTGTTGCTGACGCTAACTTCACACGTGTGAATTTCACGAACCTTGATCAAATTGCCCCAGGCGCCCTATTTTTACCGTTGTCCCTAGCCCTGATCGGCGGCCGGCTAGTAGTCTTGCCGGCGCTCACATACGTGCTGGTTGCCCCGGCAACGGGCTATTGACCAATGAGAAGCGAGGAAAGTGCAACGTCACTGCGATTTTTCATATACCTGTGCCCCGTGTCCGGACAAAATTTCGTCTGACATTTTTTCGTCGGACAGTTTTTCGTCCGCAGATTTTCGTCCGACTTTTTTTCGTCTCGCATTTTTCGTCTGTACATTTTTTCGTCTGTGCATTTTTTCGTCTGTACATTTTTTCGTCTGTACAATTTTTCGTCCGGACATTTTTTCGTTCGTATATTTTTTCGTCTGTACATATTTTCGTCCGGACATTTTTTCGTTCAATAAATTTTACGTCTGTGCACCCAAGGTTGAGTGAAAACATACTACAATGCTATTCAACTGTGAGGCAAATGACGTCATAATAATACTCGGGGCGAAGCAGTGCAGTGCCGAAGGCAATGCCTTAGGAGAGATTACAGGCAATGGTAAGTCAAATATTTTTAGGTTAAGTGGTTGTGTATCTAGCTTCAGGCCGAAGGCCTGAAGCCTGATGCATAACCACTTAACCTAAAAATATTTGACTTACCATTGCTTGCAATCTATTCATGCAAGTAACTTTTTCCTTATCCCCCGGTAGGCAAACATCAGTAGGTAAGGTTAGGTAAGGTTAGGTTAGGTTAGGTTAGGTTAGGTTAGGTTAGGTTAGGTTAGGCTAGGTTAGGTTACGTTACGTTAAAATTGTAGACGAAAAAATGTCCGGACGAAAAAACGCACAGACGAAAAAATATACGAACGAAAAAATGTCCGGACGAAAAAATGTACAGACGAAAAAATGAACAGACGAAAAAATGCACAGACGAAAAAATGTACAGACGAAAAAATGCGAGACGAAAAAAAGTCGGACGAAAATCTGCGGACGAAAAATTGTCCGACGAAAATCTGCTGGACGAAAAACCGTCATGAGCGCTGTTCGGCAGCCGGCTATTTTGGGTGAGACTAAATGCTTACTTCGAAATCTAAGCTGCGTTGCGGCATTGGCGGTTATGTGCGGCGTGTATGCCGCATGATTAGTAAGCGGCGACCACTAAATTAAAAATTCAATAGCTTCGACCTGTTTTCAATGGATAACACTGCATACCAAAAATGTCCATCGCTCTCGTCATACGATATTTAGATTTAAATAACTAACTTATCTACATCATTGTTTTGAACCAAATTAATACTCAGCCGCGAACGTATAAGGTATAACCCCTTGCCGTTTCGCTCCTGATCAAGCTAGAGCTTCGCGGAAAAAACGAGCGTGTTGCCCGTGACGAGAGAAAGCCGATGATACCCAATTTTAAGGTCCTAGGTTATCGGTTGACCTTCCAGGTCAGGTCAATGACCCAAAAGGCGGGAAAATTGGGACCTGTTAGAACGTCGTAGTGTGGCTGCTATGGGGTTTTTCGGGGTGCTGATCACGAATATCATGCTAGTTTTGATCACAGATGATGTCTTCATTCATTTAGGCCAGGTCGGGTTAGGTCAGGTCAGGTCAACCAGTAGAGGTCCTGCCAGGTATTTGTAGTAGGTGTCAACCGCCTCTGACAGCCTCGTAACATGTTACGAAGGCACCAAAACTACTTTGTAAACGTTCATGTGGTTGCTTAATTCGAATTCAGCTCGAAAAAACTGACCTAGAAACATGTCAAACTCGAAAAAGTGAACCGAGGTCACCAAAGGTCAATGACCTGACCTGACCTTCAGGTGACCTTGACACCCACCCTAATGCATGGGGGCAACATCATATCACATGTTTGAACGCTTGAAACCACGAAAAGACTGCAAACGCGCTGCTAATGCGAGCCGACATACGCTGAATCGCGGTTCCGGCCAAACATGGTCTCGAAAAGTAGGTCACAGGTCAAAGGTCATTTGGGTCAGGGTCATGAAATTTTCAGGATGGGTGTTAAATTGATCAATGCGAGGGTACTGAAAGTTTCGTCGCGATCAGCCGCTTTTTAAGCGAGTTATTCGCGAAAAACCTTAGGGGGGTTGCATCACCCCCCCCCCCTGTGCGGGCGAGGTCATGTTTTGATAGCAAGACTGAAACAGACTTTTTTGGGTAGCCAGGAAATCGCATGCCAGAGCCTATTCAAATTCTTTTATCGGCCTTTATATGCACCAGTCGCATACAGGTACGGGATTTAGCATACGATTTCCAGACAATCGAACGACTGTTTGGAGACAACAAAGGAAGGAATGAGTGAGTGAAGTTGAAAGTATTAATTTGGTTCAAAATGATGATGTAGATAACCTAGTTATTTAAAGCTGAATATCTTATGACGAGAGCGGTTGGCATTTTTGGTATGCAGTGTTATTCATTGAGAACCGGTCGGAGCGTTTGAGTCTTTAATTTAGTGGTCGCCTCTTACTAATCATGCGGCATACACGCCACACATAACCGCCAATGCCGCAACGTAGCTTAGATTTCGAAGTAAGCATTTAGTCCCACCCGCTATTTTGTGTGCAGGGTATGACGCATTCCGCGAGCCGACGTCACGGGCGATGACGTCGGCTCGCGCGCGAGCCGACGCCAACGACTAACTAACGGGAACCCTCGGACACCCTCGGGGCATAAACCGCGGAGTAGCATATTGAGCGAGTCTTATAAGGGAAATTCATATATTTCCGTCTCTAAAATGATAATCAGGGTGTCTCTTACCTTTTTACGTATGATTTAGGCTTACCTAACACTTCAGTTGCCAAATATCTGCAATTTATTCAAACGAAGGTATTTTCAGTAAATATCAATGCTATAGACTGAAATCTTTTGAATAAAAACTCCAACCAACAGAAATAAAAATAACTTATTTTATTCCAACAATTTCCTCCAAATAAACAACATAAAAACTCACTTTTACACATGCCATTCATAATAAAGCATACTAACACGCCGCTTTTGACGATTGCGGCGTCGAGTGGCGCGCTGCTAGCGCTCTTTTTCGATCGCAGAGACCCTGCACGCACGGTATATATACCGGGGTTACATGAGCAAGTAAATGCGTATCAGGAACGGATTTTCCTATTCGCTCACCATTGTAGTCCGTTTGTAATGCGTATTAACTCTGCTCATGTAACCCCGAGCATAGAGAACTAGGTAAAACCGGTTCGCCGCCACAACACTAAGGTATTTTGACCACTATTTTCAGCTGGCCTTTTCATTCCAAAAAGGGAACTAGGCCTCATATTTTTATATGTTTTATTATTTACATATATATTATCCAGAAATGTATTCAGGGCAGGACTGGTGTATATCTGTAAAGTATTTGCGAAGATAATTTTGAAGCCGGCCACGCCGTTTCGAAAATAATCAATCTTAGGTTGTAGGGTTTCTTTAGTAACGAAAATGTGTTTTCATCCTTAAAAATAAAAACTAATAGTGAAAAACTATTATCATAGCCTAATATTGCTTCTTTGAATTTCGAAACCACCATGCTCCCAAAGTTGTCATCCCGCCGGACCTGCCAAAGTTATACCACGAATTCTCGAATAATACCGTGGTGTGGGTTTCAAATCAGTAGCAGGCAATATCAAAATTGAATTGTCTTTCATATTTTATGTGTGTTTTGCATTTACTAATGCTCAAAAGTAGAATTAATCCATGTTGAATACATCACCACCATTGGTGTTCTTTGTCACCCTGTTCCACTAAATTTAATATTGTTTAAAAACAAGACCGAGTCGGCATCTAAATAAACCACCAAAATGTGCAAAAATGCACAGACTATAACATATAAAAGTATTAAAGCTCAGCTAATTGGGGCTCATTGTCAATTTTCCCTCCAAAGTTGAAATTTAAAGTTTTGGGTACCAAACAGTCTTGAACAAAAACATTCATTGTTGGTAAACCTACCGCAGATGGGCTCATAAAAGGTGTACATCATAATAAAAATTAAATTTTCTTTCCAGATAAGCATGTTTTTTTGCATTTTCTGTGTCATAAGATATATTTTTTTGGTCTAGAATGTGAGAGCTTCCTTGCTGCCAAAAGTCACACTGTAACAATCAATGGAATATTACTAAAAATAAAACCGAGTCGGCATCCATTTATAGTACAATAATATACAAAATTAAATTTTCTATCTGCTGGTGTAAGGTGTTATACAAAATAAATTGGGGCTCAGTACGAAATTCGATGTTAAAAACTGCAGACCATAATTATCACCTGCAGCTGCGCACAGTTTACTGTACTGTTATCGCTAGCGAACGCCAGCGCTCTCATTTGATTGGTTTAACGGCGTGTTCGTTGCTGACGGAGAACATCCCTGATTTTTTAATTTGTTTTGATTAGGCTTGGATTAGGCCGATTAGGCACATTGGAATTCGGTTAAAATTCAATTTAAAATTGTGCAGCTTGTTGATGGTAGAAGTTGTGAAGCGCATAACATAAAAGAGTTGTGTAGAGATTGTATGGGGTGTTGGCGTTTTTGAAATTTCCTTTTTCTTGTGCTCTTTTGAGATCTTTGCAGGGGTTGGAAATTTGCAATCACAATGCCACCAGGAAACAGTGTTTTTTTCATGCCACAGTTATGGGCAACACGGCAGGGCAAAGTTTGCCTCAAGTCCTGGCTCGTTCGTAGCCTTGATTTGCATTCAAGAAAGCAGGTGTGTGCCCAAATGGATGCTGCACATTTTTTATATTCTTCAAAGCTATCGAGGTTCATTTGCCGATTCTGCATGGAGTATGCGAAGCAAAGCAGTGTCATGCTGACGCGGATACGAAGACGTGAGTATGAAACAGACTACAATACTTGGCAAAAAGGCAAGCAAAATGCATCGCTTAGTTTGACTAATCCGCATCATTCTATATCAACCAATCTGGAAATGTGTACCCTCCAGTGTACCAGTATGCCCTGCATAAATGTGGAAGAATTGAGCCAGAGCCCATGCTAAGCGTGAATTGCTGTGTAGATCTACAAACCCCACCATGCACCAGGCATCCTTGAGCATGTGCTGTGTTGTGCAGGTGATTGTGCATTGGTGTTCATGTGCTCCTGGGTGCCTTTGGTGGGGGGGGGAGCTCGAGCGTTGTGTGGTTCTTGAGTTATCATCCCATCCACCAGGTTGTATCTGGCGGTGGTTCTGGAGACAGCGCGGTTCGATCCAGCTGTGGGCCTGACGTCACCCAGCAGAAATGGCAGCGTGTTATCACCAGCTACGAGGCGCGCATACAGACATTGTCCAGAAACAATCACGTCATCTCCAGGTCAGTTGTGCATCCCACCGACTCTGTAGGGCAGTGATATAATGCCAATTGTGTTACCTGGCCCCTGATAGGTGATAATGGCGTCCCCCCGTCCACGGTGAGTGGCGTGATGACTGTGACCGGTCACCGGTCGACCACAGGTTGATCGGGGCCGGTTGTCGCTGTGGTCCGAGAGCCGAGGCGGGCCCAGGGGCGACCTCCTTGGCCGTCTGATGGAGGCGTGGTCCCATACATGCATTTCCCATCAATATGTGAATTTATCAATTTATAGGTAAATGGTTGTGACCAATCACTGTTCAACATCTGCCAATATAACCCGACCTGCGTCCTCTGCCCTCCATTCTCAGGCAGTCAGCTGAGTCAGATCCAGGACCAGCTCCAGAGCCTGAACCTGTCATTGAAGGCCGTCAGGCACCACCTATCCTTCACTGTACAATCCTTCGGTGTTACAAGTTACAACCAGATTAATTGCTTTATGCTCCACTCAGTCTGCTGTTTGACCATAATGGGCTGTTTGAATGGCATGGCATATTGTGTCATAAGGAAAAAAATATAGCATTGCAGTTAAAGGCCTACTTGCATGACTATGCTTCCAGACTCCAGTGAATGCTCTGAATATTTCTTGGTGAGTTAAATAGATTACCTTAGGGATATTCAGCATAGGACTTGAAAATAATATGGTCCCTAATGAGTCATTAACTCTTTACTGTGTTTCAGAGCGCCACGCGACCACGATGGTACTGCCAACGATGGCCTGCTCACCGACAGCTCCCCGCCAGCCGGCGGCGTTCCGCCAGCCAACGGGCTTCCGCCAGCCAACGGCGTTCTGCCCGCCGATGGTGGCCCGACGACCGACGGTCGCTCGCCGGCCGAAGGTGATCCTGTAGCCGAACGAGGCTCGCCGACCTACGCCGATCGACGCCGGCCCGCCCGCCGACGACGCCCTGCCAGCCGACCGCGTCCCGCTCGCCGACGGCGTCGATACGCCGGCGCGCGTATCGACATTGATCAGAAACGATCACATTATGTCCAGGTCAGTAATTGTGTCAATCAACGCATCCACAGGTCAGCTGTGTCCTGCTTCGTTACTAGGTCAGTGACCATAGGTGGGTTGCTTGGGGGAACTTTATGTGTTGCCGGGATGGGATGTCTGCTAATGCAGGTGCCGTTGCAAGTGTCGTGACGCTTGATGGTCTCAGGCTTGAGCTTCGAGTGAGTGAGAAATGTGTAATGTGTATACAGGCGAATGTACTGTTATTATGGATGAGTGTGCGACAGGGAACGTTATGAGGTATGATTCGTGGTCGCCGTGGCTGGTAGTGGCATTTTACGCGACCGTCGTGACCTGTGACGGCAGCCGTGACTGCTATATGACGGTCGCCGTGACTGTTCTATAACGGCCTTCGTGACTGAAACGTGACGGTCGTCACTCGGCGTGACGTGCCGCGACTCGCTGTTTTGCAGGTCATTAGTCGCGGGCGCTCGAGCTGACGGTGTCGTCTGACGGCTCCGCGGTGACCAGCGCCGCCTCCGCCGAGAACATCAGACTCCTGAAATGCTAATGGCCGTACACGAACAAGAGGCTCTAAACATCCAGGTGCAGGATAAGCGCCATGCTCAGAGGCGTCATCTGGAGAAGGCCGCACAGTGCACTTAAGGCTGAGCTCGGGTGTAGTGCGCGCAGACAGATATGATCAACTGACGGGCCGGCCATCAGATTTCAGTACGGAACTCAAGATGATTGGAGCCGACGTGGTTCGGTTGATGGTGTGTCAGGGTTGATTGAGAGTGGAGGCGAGACACCCGGATCTGTGAATGATACGCCGATACGGATCTCGACGTCGTCTTGCAATTTGTGCTATGTAATATGACGGCTATGCCGTGGTATCATTCACTCTCGATGCGCTTATAAATAATAAATAGGACAGAGACTGGAATTAAGATTATTATATTTGGATGTAAGGGGCAGGTTTTGGCCAGCTCTATATTAGAAATCGTGAGCGTGCTAGTTGCAATCAATCGCGCGCTTCTTGCTGAGCATCTGTGAGCGAGAAAATACTTTCTCTGGAACGTTCGTCGTAAAATATGTGTATCTTTGGAATAAGTTGTCAGAACATGAATGCATTTTTGGTGTCCACTGCAGCTGCTGTTCTGGAACAGAAACATGCCGAGATCGGCTGTGTAGGTATGTACTATGTACGCTGTGGCAAAATCAAGCAGCCGTACCATGAATCAAAAGCGGTATGTGAATTAAAGTGGATATATTTCACTATTTTTTCAGTTATATCATACAGATCACAGAAATGCGTCAAATACTGATCACACCCGGTTCCAAACAACTAAACGCTTGCGATCACTGGAAAGTAAATAAACAATAGATACCCATGTGGCTGCCTGGCGTGATCCGAGACTCTCTCTCTCTCTCTCTCTCTCTCTCTCTCTCTCTCTCTCTCTCTCTCTCTCTCTCTCTCTCTCACTCTCTCTCTCTCTCTCTCTCTCTTTCTCTCTCTCGCTCTCTGTTGTTGCTGACGCACACAGGACAACACAGCCGAATCGCGACGATGGAGAGCACGGAACGATGCCGGTGACTGGCGGACCAGCGAAAACAGGAAAGGAGATGAATAGCTCTAGCTCCCGTCTGCGCGCGGAAGGGCTCTGATTGGCGCGGCTCGCTGACTCCATTGGCTCATCAGACTGTTGTTGGTTTCCTCCTTCCCCTCCCACAAGCGTAGCCACTAGCCAGGTAGCTAAGTTGTGCGTGGAAGCGAGCGGCCAGAGCGGCGCTAGGTGTCGCCCTCCCAGCGACCGGGCAGTGCAGCTGGACACTGGGCAGTGCAGCTGGACGTGCCCCGGATGGTCCGCCTCTGATCTCGGCACACTCGGCAGAGTGCGACCGGACACTCCATGGAGTTGCATAGCGTCGATAGGCCGTATGGTGTCGCTGTCGTAATTATAAAAGCGTAAATAGAAGGCTGAAACAAGATATAGAATGCTTTTCTTTACATTTAATATCGCAAAGCACAGCTTTATGCGCTGGCTACGATATGTGCGTGTCGGTTGCGGCAGTAATCATCGAAGAAATATATGATTTATGAACGTTTCTTGATCATAGAATGTTAAAACATTGCAATGTTTGCCTGTTGTGAAGAAACTCCTATACTGCTGCTCTATCTTCCGGAATTATTCGTGTTTGATTACGACAATTCCGCCACTCTATCAGCTGATTTTTGTTTCCGAGTCACGTGACCAACCGGTGTCTCCCTGCCTGCACGCGCGCGAGCACACTACGTCACGTCCGGGGGCACAGTTATATGAAAAATCGCAGTGACGTAACACTTTCCTCGCTTCTCATTGGTCAATAGCCCGTTGCCGGGGTAACGTGCACGTATGTGAGCGCGGGCAAGAGTACTAGCCGGCCGCCGATCAGGGCTATGGAATCCTGAGCGCTGTTCGGCAGCCGGCTATTTTGTGTGCAGGGTATGACGTATTTCGCGAGCCGACGTCACAGGCGGTGACGTCGGCTCGCGCGCGAGCCGAGCGCCAACGACAAACTAACGGGAACCCTCGGACACCCTCGGGGCATAAACCGCGGAGTAGCATATTGAGCGAGTCTTATAAGGGAAATTCATATATTTTCGTTTCTCAAATGATAATCAGGGTGTCTCTTACCTTTTTACATATCATTTAGGCCTACCTAACACTTCAGTTGCCAAATATCTGCAATTTATTCAAGCGAAGGTATTTTCAGTAAATATCAATGGTATAGACCGAAATCTTTTGAATAAAAACTCCAACCAACAGAAATAAAAATAACTTAATTTATTCCAAATATTTCCTCCAAATTAACAACATAAAAACTCACTTCTACACACATCATTCATAATAATGCATACTAACACGCCGCTTTTGACAATTGCGGCGTTGAGTGGCGCGCTGCTAGCGCTCTTTTTCGATCGCAGAGACCCTGCACGCGCGCGAGCACACTACGTCACGTCCGGGGGGCACAGGTATATGAAAAATCGCAGTGACGTAACACTTTTCTCGCTTCTCATTGGTCAATAGCCCGTTGCCGGGGTAACGTGCACGTATGTGAGCGCGGGCAAGAGTACTAGCCGGCCGCCGATCAGGGCTCTGTGCCCCCTGTAGCGCGCTTCTCATTGGTCAATAGCCCGTTGCCGGGGCAACGTGCACGTATGTGTGCACGGGCTAGCGCGCTAGCCGGCCGCCGAACAGCGCCCCTGAAAACACGTGCAGTGTTTTTATATACCTTGAACACGTGGGTCCACCACCTGCCCTTGGTATTTAGCAGGGTATTTAGGGCCCAATTAGGGCCTTGCGCCTGCTCATGAGAGTTAGATCAGTTAGTGTATTGGTATAACTTGGGCATAACAGCATAAGTGTGTGAGTTTCGGCGTCGACAATTATTTAATCGGCGGGTGTGATTTTCAAGTACTTTTTCAACACCCAGGGTAGGTGAGAAATGCCTTATACCCTTCTTGACATTAAAATTGTTTCCTCAATTAATAATTACAAGGACAGGGTTTAATACGTATTCAGTATTCACTATAGGACCAACCCACTTTTCAAAGGTAAATTATATTTTACACATTTCACATTTCTCCATTTTTGACATCCTAAATCCAGATATCATACATGTCACGAAAATATTGAAAAAAAAGTCTTACCTAAACTGACCCACAATTTTTGAATACTGGGGCCCTGTTTCACCGGTGATAGCAGCACACTACTCTCAAATTGCGCGAGCTGACGTAATGTGGCGACGCCACGGTAATGACGTTTCGTGTAATCCGTGAGCTTTTTCATAGCTACGTTTGGAACAGAGTTGCAGTGTTGTTGAATGCGTTTGATTTGATCGCACAGCCGTGAAGATGTTAGCAGCAATATTTGATGACATCGCACAGTTTGACGACGCCATGGTTAATTGATGTTTCCATGGAAACCCAATTTGACACGTGTGATAGAAGCATGCTGCTATCACCGGTGAAACAGGACCCTGTGGTTAAGGAAGAAGTTTTTTTTACCTGGTATTCTTACCTGGTAGGGTTCCCTTAGTCTTCTTAGGATTTGATTGGGGATGGTCCGGGATGGGATAAGGAACCCAGGATTCTGAGACGCGCCAGTTCTCTGGGTACACAACTGCCAATAAGACCATCAGAGTACACACTACAACTGTAATAGAGCGTCTTCCAATGTGATAGTTGGCAACAAAATCAGTAAACTAGAGACTTGCAATGAGAATATCGACAATGACCTAACCTAATCTAAACTAAGTGCATGCATACAGAGAGTCCTGAAGGTGGGTGTGTAACAATTGTTTAAAGGTTTTCAAGTTAGGGGTACATACTGCTTCCTCAGGCAATGAATTCCATGTATGATGTAGGTACACATCGAACAGAGAAGAAACGCTTTCTAACATCAGTGCGACTATGTGACAGGAGAATCTTAAAGCAGTGTCCTTGGTTTGACCTTAGGGGGCCAGGTCAAACAGGTCTTTAGGCGATATACAAGAGTGTCCATGGAAGACCTTCCAGCACTGGATGAGGTCAGCTCTTAATAGTCTACCCTGAACTGAGTACAAGTCAAGTGTTTTAGACGATCACAGTAACTTAGGTTACACAACCCGGAGATGTGTTTCGTCCATTTTCTTTGTACATTTTCTAGCAGATGCAAGTCTTTAGAATATCCAGTGGACCACACGCATGAACAATATTCAATTATCCCTCGCCCGCACATGGGGGGGGGGGGGTGCCACCCCCCCCAGGTAGTCTTTCTGCTCTGCACTCAACATTTTTAGAGCTAGAAGCCTGATTTTTCGTATAGCTGCTCCTCTATCCTTTCTTGATGTCCACTGAAAATTTCAAGTTTCTGTGATTTTTGGTTTCGGAGATATGACCTTGTTTTTCAGGTCATGTCATGACCCAAATGGCCAATTCTCAACATCTTGTGTTTGCCATGGGCCTTGTGAGCTTTTGACACCCTGATTTTGGCCTTTTTTGCCAGTCTTACCTCCCACCTATCATGGAACATGTTCGACGATGTACAGGGGTCAAGGTCAGGGTCAAGGTCAACCTAGGTCATCTAAGATACTTTTTGTGAAGTTTTTTGACTGCATTTTTCATAGAAGCTTCTCAGATCATGATTTCATGTAATATGGACCCAAAAAACAATCGGTGCACACATCAGTATACACACAGACACACACAGACATACATACACATATAATTGACCTTGACCTTACTTGACCTGAAATGACCTCAGCAGCAAAATTCTGGTCGGGTAGTGTGACAAAGAGGTTCTAGCTGGCTTGGCACCAGAAAACAGCATCGTCATCGGTATTTGATAAGCAGCGCACTTGATATCCAACGGTGACCCAAAACAGCAACATTTTTTAGTTTGACCTGACCTGGAAGGTCAATGACTGACCTGAGAAGGTAAAACTGGGTATCATTGGATTCGTCTCTTCCCAAAGAATCTTTTTGGTCTTTACCGCTAAGCTCTATCTCCAACAGGAACGAAATGGCGCGGGGGGTGGCACCCCCCCCCCCATGTGCGTTCTAGGATGGGAAAATGGCATGTGCGGGCGAGGGTTATTGGACGAATATGAGTGGTGAGAAGGAAAAGCATGAATTCAGAGGATCTACAGACTGGATTTCAAAAGACTGTGAGCCAGCCCACCAGCCTTGTGGACAGTGGATTAGACATGCTCATTGCTCATGGAACTTCAGGTCTACATCGATGGTTACACCGAGGTCAACATGGGAGGTCGCAGACTTCACTGGATGGGCACTCCATCAAGGAAATATTTAGGCACAGCAAGGTCAGCTCTTCGTTTGGAGAAGCGGAGCACCGCACACTTCTTTGGATTCATATGAAGGCCCCAGGAAGCTGCAGTGGAGTGTAATGTATCAATGTCATTTTGGGCTCTCCTCATGTGATTTTGAGATTGATCATTGTCAGTATCATAGTTAGTGCAAACAAACATCTTAAGGTCATCTGCAAATATTGCATATGTGCTGTGCAATTGGGATGCTATGTTATTAATATAAATCAAAAACAAAAGAGGACCAATCACAGAGCCCTGCGGTACACCACTAGATACATGTTTAGATTGGCTGAAAAGACCTCTCACACAGGCTCTCATGGTTCTATCAGTAAGGAACGACGATATCCATTGTAGCATACATCCATTAACACCAATCAAGCTGAAGTCTGTTAGTAGCAATTCATGGCTCACAACATCAAAGGCTTTACTAAAGTCAAAGAGCATCACATCAGTTACAAGCCCTCTATCTGTGTTTAGAGAAACTGAGTTGTAAAACAGCAGAAGTTGTTCCATAGTTGATCTCCCTGATCTGAAGCCAAAC